TGAACAAAGGATTTAACTGAATAGCCAAAAATGAAAGGGAGTGTGTGGAAAGAGGGAAAGCTAGGCTCTCTCATTTATCTTTTCTCCTAAAATAAAACCAAATGCATACATAACAAAACTGAAACAATTTTAAACTGGTAAGAGGATTTTTGTTACACATATACCATGTGGCAACATCATGTTATAAAGTTATACTTTATACAGTGAATGTATCCAGCCACTTCATACTGGATTAAAAAAAAAATTAGAAATTTTATTTCAAGATAATTCCATAGTATTCCATATCACTGCAAGTATCCATATAAAAGGTCACACTACAATCTGAATATTTTCCTTATTGGTGCAACTAACATCTAAAATAACTAAGAGAGATTTAAAAATATTTCGCTGTTAGTCAGTTTACTTTGTACTTTTCACAACACCCTTGGTATGTACACCATGTTTTCTAGCACTCTAATCACTTCCATTTCTCTCCACCATAAGTACTCCCTGCAACCAGTGTTGCCAAGTCTTATGAGAAAAAAAAAAAAGTGGTACTGCCTTTAAAAACAAGTCCAACCCATTTCAAAGAGAGGGGAGTGGGGGTGCTTAATCAACCCGCAATTCTCAGAACATTAAAGCGACTCCTAAGAAAAAAAACAAAAAAACAAGCCCACTTCCACTTACTATAAGCTGACTTATAACACTGTCTGCAAACTATGTGCCTCTTAAAAAGCAACAATCTAATCTAGACACAGTACTCTAGTCTAGAACTTGTACTGAATAGAGTGAAAGAACTAGTGACTTACATGCAATAGACTTTGTTAATACCTTTAACATGCCGTTTGTATAAGTGTACCGATATGTCAGTCCATATTGTATTGTCACTGATAAAAGGAAAACTGGCATTATTGGCAATTCGCTTTTTTGGCTGATATTGCTGATAATGTTGTCGATAAATGGTGCTTGTATGCGTGCAGCTGCAGCATGCACACAGCCAGCATGGCAGCTTGCATTTCAACGCCTGGCTGGTGAGTCTATTGTTGGGGGGGCAGGGGTGGTGGGAGGCAACAGGTGTTGGGGGGAGCAGATCAAGGCCCCTGCAGTGAGGGATGGAGTGGGACAGCAGCAGGCACTGCTCAGCTGGGGCAGGGCAGGGAATGGGACAGAGCTGGGAGTGGCTCATCTGCAGGGCATGGCTCTTGACACTCAGCACACCCCCAGGGGAGGCATAGAGGGACGTGTGTCCCTGCATCTGTGCGCAGGGCAAGGGTGGGCTGTCGCTGTGGGCTGGGACTGGGTGCAGCACTGGGCTCTTTCTGGCAGGGGGGTTGGGAGGAGAGGCTAGGAGGAAGGGCTAAGGGGGGGTGGAGCTGCAGCTACTCCAAATTTTGCTGTAGCACCCCCCCCCCCCATCGCCCCCCTTGCCGCGCTCCCACCCCCCCCCCTAAGCAAACCCCCGCCCCCCACCCACCCCACCC